AACAAACGGGTCGGGCTACGCTGGACACGAAGACACCACCATGCCACGATTACTCTATTAAATACCCGGGGGCATTTGTCACGGGGTTGGAAAGGCAAGTCGCGATTCGTATTTTATGAGCGCGCTCTCCTATTGGACGCGGTGATTCGACGCGCATCGGTCAGTTTCAAATTTTCAAAAAATCTCTCTCTTGCCGATCTGTTTTATTCATCGATTCACTCCTCCAAAGATTAATTCTATCTCAACGATCATCTTTTTTTTTTCTTAAGGGAATTTATTTGGAGAATTTTTCGAATCGTTTTATCGAAGGTTAGGTTAGGTTTCGATGATAGGTTTTTTGAAAAATTAGTTGCATTATTTATTCGAATTTTTGGGATCAATATTTTCGATAGATTTATCAATAGTTTCTTCGTGATAATTTTTTGTGAGATATATATATGTAAATTTTCATTAATCTTGCGATGTATCGAGAAAAAGGTAATGAAAATGAACGTGAAAAAAATTGTTGGAATGAAACTTTTGTTTGAGCATCAAAGTAATTTTTACTTTTGGTATTATAAAATAATTTCCTCGAATTTTTAGAATTTATATCCGGCTGAAATTACGCTTTCATCTTTTATCCTTGGCAGACGCGTATGATATAGTAATAACGAGTGATTATTGTCACAATTGCACAGAGAAAATTTAAACTAATCCTATTACATTGGGTAAATTCAATTCAAGAAACTTTTGAAACGAAAACACTTTACCTATAATAATATCTAAATACGATTATTTCTCGGAAATATTCGTTTAATTTTTAACAAATGATTCGTATTATCTTTCATAACAATTTCCTCCATATTAATGATTAATATTATCAAAATTTAATTACAAATAGTCGAATTGCTCGAATAAATTTCTTATTCCAAAGATAATTACAAATATGAAGAGAAATTCCCTCAGCTGGAAAAATAGAATTCTCTGACAAACAACTCTTCATTATCAAAACTTTTTATTATCATTGGAATATTTTCTCAAAATTACCTCGGTAAATCACAGAACAACACGTATTATATTTCCGCTCCACTACTTCACGAACTGTCTACTCAAATATATGTTTTCTATCGCGAAAAAAAGGATTTTCAGGAGAGGTTACACGTGTCTCTCAAGATTACCTAGGGGAAAAGCGAAATTACTAAAATGTAAAATTATTACACTTCGCTCTTTGTTAAAAGTTGTTTAATTTTTGAATTAAATTATGCATTAAATATCACATATCACTTAGAATGATTAAAAAAAAATATTTGCAATTGTTTTTATTGTACAACATTTAAATATTATTACAAGGATATTAAAATTAAACATCATGAATAATGCAACAAATGACACAGCACAAATATAACAAAAAATATTATTATTTCCAAACTCTTCGATATTTTATCTCCACATTGAAAATTATATAAATATACCAAGTTAAATAAGAAGTTTGAAAATTCCTTTTCACCTTTTGTTTCAATCTCTCGATTAGAAACAATTCAAACTCGCCACCCTTCCAAAATTCTCTCTCTAAAAATCCCCAGTCTCGCTAATAACAGCCGAATATAGGAATAATCGGTTGGCGAAATCGAAATCAAGAAATCGACCAAGAACCGCGCGTTTCCGGTTCACGCATAAACGAGCCAAAATATACCCGTGGTCGATCCATGGATTGTACATTAACAGCAGACGAGTTATTATTCCCTATAACACGTGGTAGCTGTGTCAGTGGGCAAGCCGGGAACGGACCTGGAATATCGATTCTCGACTGTCGAAGGGAGGCAATACGGCTAACTTCCGGCACGAACCGGAAATGACTGTTCCACGCCTACCAGCCCAATCCCCCTTCCCCCTGCCCCGCGTCGTTCAACCCAACCCGCTAACACCATCATCCGCACAAACCCATC